AACCTTCCAAGGCTGACTCAGGAAGGAACAGAAAATCTGAACAGACCAATTACCAGCAACAAAATTGAACTGGTAAACAAAACACTACCTAAGAATAACATCACTGGACCAGATGGTTTCACTGCTGAATTCTATCAAACATTTAGTAAGGACCTAATGCCATCCTCCTTAAAATTATTCAAAAAGTAAAAGAGAAGGGAATACTTCGAAACTCACTGTATGAGGGCAGCATCACTCTAATACCAAAACCAGACAAAGATACCACGAAAAAAAGGAAATTACAGACCAATATCCCTGATCAACACAGATGTAAAAATACTCAAAAAAATATTAACAAACCAAATTTAAAAATACATAAAAAAGATCATCCATCATCATCAAGTAGGATTTATTCCAGGGATGCAAGGATAGTACAATATTAGAAAACCATCTATCAACAAGACAGAAAATAAATAAGGAAGGACACAGAGGCACTGAACAACACATTAGAACAGATGGACCTAACGGACATCTACAGAACTCTACACCCCAAATCAGCAGGATACACATTCTTCTCAAGTGCGCACAGAACATTTTGAAGAATAGATCATACACAAGGCCACAAAAAGAGACTCAGTAAATTAAAAAAGACTGAAATTGTACCAACCAGCTTCTCAGACCACAAAGGTATGAAACTAGAAATAAATAATGGAAAGAAAATGAAAAATCCCACAAACACAGAGAGGTTTAATACATGCTCCTAAATAACCAATGAATCAATGACCAAATAAAAACAGAGATTAAGCCATTTATATGCAGACAAATGACAACAATAATTCAACACCGCAAAATCTGTGGGACGCCGCTAAGGCCATGTTAAGAGGGAAATATACTGGAAATATATTGCAATACAGGCCATCTCAGGAAAGAACAATCCCATATGAACAGTCTAAACTCACAATTAATGAAACTAGAAAAAGAAGAACAAATGAGACCCTAAGTCAGTAGAAGAAGGGATATAATAAGGATTAGAGGAGAAATAAATAAAATTGAGAAGAATAAAATAGAAAGAATTAAAGTAGGAGCTGGTATTTTGAGAAAATAAACAAAATACATAAACCCCTAGCTAGACTTATCAAGAGAAAAAGAGAGTCTGCACACATGAACAGAATCAGAAATAAGAAAGGAAAAATCACCACGGACACCACAGAAATATGAAGAATTCTTACAGATTACTATGAAAAATTATATGCTAACAAACTGGATAACCTAGAAGAAATGGACAACTTCCTAGAAAAATACAACCTTCCAAGGCTGACTCAGGAAGGAACAGAAAATCTGAACAGACCAATTACCAGCAACAAAATTGAACTGGTAAACAAAACACTACCTAAGAATAACATCACTGGACCAGATGGTTTCACTGCTGAATTCTATCAAACATTTAGTAAGGACCTAATGCCATCCTCCTTAAAATTATTCAAAAAGTAAAAGAGAAGGGAATACTTCGAAACTCACTGTATGAGGGCAGCATCACTCTAATACCAAAACCAGACAAAGATACCACGAAAAAAAGGAAATTACAGACCAATATCCCTGATCAACACAGATGTAAAAATACTCAAAAAAATATTAACAAACCAAATTTAAAAATACATAAAAAAGATCATCCATCATCATCAAGTAGGATTTATTCCAGGGATGCAAGGATAGTACAATATTAGAAAACCATCGACATCATCCACCGCATCAACAAAAAGAAGGACAAAAACCACATGGTCATCTCCATAGATGCTGAAAAGCATTCAACAGAATTCAACATCCATTCATGATAAAAACTCTCAACAAAATCGGTATATAGGGCAAATATCTCAACATAATAAAGTCCATATATGACAAACCCACAGCCAGCATCATACTTAACAGCAAGAAGCTGAAAGCTTTTCCTTTAAGATTGGGAACAAGACAAGGACGCCCACTCTCCACACTTTTATTCAAAATAGTTCTGGAGGTCCTAGCCACAGCAATCAGACAACACAAAGAAATAAAAGGCATCCAGATTGTTAAAGAATAAGTTAAACCGTCCCTGTTTGCAGATGACATGATATTGTACATAAAAAACTCTAAAAATCTATTAGATCTCATATCTGAATTCAGAAAAATTGCAGGATACAAAATTAATACACAGAAATCAGTTGCATTCCTACATACTAATGAAGAACTAACAGAAAGAGAAATCAGGAAAACAATTCTATTCATAATTGTATCAAAAAGAATAAAATACCTAGAAATAAACCTAACCAAGGAAGTGAAAGACCTATAGTCTGACAACTACAAGACACTCATGAGAGAAATTAAAGAAGATACAAATAAATAGAAACACATCCCGTGCTCATGAATACGAAGAATTAATATTGTCAAAATGGTCATCCTGTCTAAGGCAATCTACAGATTCAGTGCAATCCCTGTCAAAATACCAAAAGCATTCTTCAACAAAGTTGAGCAAATAGTGCCAAAATTTATATGGAACCACAAAAGACCCCAAATAGCCAAAGCAATTCTGAGAAGGAAGAATATACCTGGGGGGATTATGCTCCCCAACTTCAAGCTCTACTACAAAGCCACAGTAATTAAGACAATTTGGTACTGGCACAAGAACAGACCCATAGACCAATGGAACAGACTAGAGAGCCCTGATATAAACATAAGCACATATGATCAATTAATATACAATAAAGGAGCCATGGACATACAATGGGGAAATGACAGCCTCTTCAACAACTGGTGTTGGCAAAACAAGACAGCTACATGCAAGAGAATGAAACTGGATTATTTTCTAACCCCATACACAAAAGTAAACTCAAATTGGATCAATGACCTAAATGTGAGTCATGAAACCATAAAACTGTTAGAAGAAAACATAGGCAAAAATCTCCTGAATATAAACATGTGCAACTTTTTCCTGAGCGCATCTCCTCAAGCAAGGAGAACAAAAGCAAAAATGAACACATGATACTACATCAAACTAAAGAGCTTCAGTACAGCAAAGGACACCATCAAGAGGAACAAAAAGGCATCGTACAGTATGGGAGAATATATTTCTAAATGACATATCTGACAAGGGGTTAACATCCAAAATATGTAAAGAACTCACATGACTCAACAACCAAACCCAATTTAAATAACCCAATTTAAAAAATGGGTGGAGGATATAAACAGACAATTCTTCAAAGAAGTAGTTCAGATGGCTAAGAGACATATGAAAAGATAAGATACTCCACATCACTAATCATCGGGGAAATGCAAATTAAAACCACAGAGATACCAGTTAGGATGGCCAGCATTGAAAAGACTAAAAACAACAAATGCTGGTGAGAATTCAGAGAAAGGGGAACCCTCCTACACTGCTGGTGGGAATGTAAATTAGTTCAACCATTGTGGTAAGCAATATGGAGGTTCCTCAAAAAAATAAAATTAGAAATACCATTTGACCTGGGAATTCCACTCATAAGAATTTTCCCAGAGTACAAGTTCTCAGATTCAAAAAGACATATGCACCCCTATGTTCATCACAGCACTATTTTCAATAGCCAAGATATGGAAGCAACCTAAGTGTCCATCAGTAAATGAATGGATAAAGAAGATGTGGTACCTGGTACGTATAACACAATGGAATATTATTCAGCCATAAGAAGAAAACAAATACTAACATTTGCAACAGCATGGATGGAGCTGGAGGGTATTATGCTCAGTGAAATAAGCCAGGCGGAGAAAGACAAGTATCAAATGATTTCACTCATATGTAGAGCATAAGAACAAAGCAAAAACTGAAGGAACAAAGGAGCAGCAGAATCACAGAACCCAAGAATGGACTAACAGTTACCAAAGGGAAAGGAACTGGGGAGGATGGGTGGGAAGGGAGGGATAAGGGGAAAAAGGGAGCATTACGATTTGCACACATAATGTAGGGGGTGGGCATGGGGAAGGCAGTATAGCCCAGAGAAGACAGGTAGTCTTTCTATAACATCTTACAATGCTGATAGATAGTGACTGTAATGGGGTATGTGGTGGGGACTTGATAATGGGAGGAATCTATTAACCACAATATTGCTCATGTAATTGTATATTAATGATACCAAAATAAATAAATAAATAAATAAATAAAAAAAATGATGACTGCCTCCAAAAAGGGTCTTTCTTAATGGGCTTGAAGGTCAGCAAATGAGACAGAGACTTGTCACTGTACACTTTTACCTTTAAAAAGTTTCAGTTATACAGATTATCTGTTCTAACAAATGAATCAAATTACTTGCAAAAGCAGTCTCCTATTAAGTGACACAAAAAGCAACACTGCTAAAAATAATCACTAGAGATAAACATCTTTTTAAAGTTTAAGATGTGTAAGAGAAGATTTTTTTAGCTTTCAGATAATTTGTACAAAAGCTAAAATCACCAGCATGATCACCCTCTGAACCTTTGGCTTTCCTTGTGTATTCTCCTTTGCTCGTTCTCAGATGTTCGCCCATTTTTTGCTTTTACAAGGACTATGGTTATTTAGGGGAAATCCCCACCTGTTATCAAGTGTTACCCTTGCTCTTTTAGAGGTCCTTTGTCTTTAGGATTTCAATTCTTCACTGCAAGCTTTGAGCACATGATATACATTACACCAACAGCTTCCATTTGCCAAGATCTACCAGTGTCAGGCACTTTAATACCTCATTTAATGCTCTAAGAAAACCGCAATCACAGTATCTCATCCATAATTCAGAGACAATAAACATGAGGTTCAGAAGTTAGACGATCTTGCCTGAGGTTAGTGACAGATCTGAATTTGAACCCAGATCTGATTCCAAATGCCATATTCTTTCCTACACCACCCCACCACTGGGGGGTGTAAGTGAGAACACTAGGACCAGAGTCACCCTGGGGTTAACTCTCCACAACAGATTCTCTATCTAGAGGTGCTTTTATTAACAAAATGAGACAGCACCAATTTTAAAGTATTGCTTCAGATTACCTACCTTAAGTGTTTCCGCACAAATTTTATTCAGTTGAGAAACTTCTTGCCGCTTGCAGGCCCTTGTTGCTTCCAAAAGGTTTTCAAGATTAAGGTTTGCTTTTTGCAAAGACTGAAGCTCCGATTCTAATTCTAATTGCTTTTTCCTAATAGATATTTTGAAAGTGAGTAATTGAGGTAATAAGTAATGTCATACACATTTGTAGAGTACTTTACAGTTTATACTTTCTCTTAACTTTTTAATTTCTCTTTAAAATCAGAAATATTCAGATTATTACCTCATTTGTTTGTATGTACCACTTATATACATATATATATATAAAGCCATGTACATCACAAATATATCACATAGGTATAAAAGCTATGTATGATACATAGATACATATATATATACACATATATACCCATACATTATAACCTCATTTTCCAGTTGGATAAAATATGGCTCAGAGATTAATGACAAGTTTAAAGTATTGAAGAAATACATGGTAGAGTCCAATTCAAATCCCATATAGTCCATGATGATACCATATGTGGTATGTTATTCTTTAAATAAGTACTTCTCTGTATTTATCCTGTTCTAAAGGACAGGATTAACTTTAGTTATGATGATAATGTGGATTATTTTTGTTTTCTTTTACACAAAGGGCATGAAGAAAGAATATTAACAAATCTGTAATTTCTAAAAATCCTAATTCATAGCAACAATAATTTTAATTTGGCTACCAGATGAAGAATTTACTTTGTAAGTTCAATAAACACTTATCGCAAAAGATATATAAGGTAAAACATTTACACCATCTAGTTCATTAAATAAAGAACTAGAAGCTCTTTTTCATGTCAAAACAAGCTAACTGTATATGAGAATTTAATATTTAAAGAAAAATTCTCAATGTTGTCAACTGAAAACAAAACATCAAAAGATATTAAAATAGGTAAAGATGAGTGTGTATTTTACACTTTACCTAGTTAGCTCCTTGAATTCTTCATATTCTTGCTTTGAATTGTTTAGCTCTGTCTGAATTTGCAGGAGTTGTGCCTTTAGCTTCTCAGTGTTTGCTAATGAACATGGCTCTTTCAGAGTTTTAGGAGAGAATCCTTGATGACCTGATAATAAGGAAGCAACTCAGTCTTTAAAAGATAAAAATAAAATATTTTCTAAATTCTCTGCCAGATGTCAATTCTGAAGCAAAGGAGTAAAAATGAAATATGGGTTGGAAGGTGGACCCTAAAATACAAGAGCCTATAATGCAAAAGGAGACACAGGACACAAAACAGTGTGTCTAAGAATATAAATTGTTCTGGAAAGCTAAGAAGCCACAGGATGCAAGGGCATATTAAAGGCAACACCTCTTCCATTAGGAAAAGAACAAATGACAACTGAAATATAACACACTGCTGCTGGATGGAGAAACACCAAGAGTTGCACCTTACGGGAAAATAGTGTTAACAAACTAATGTTAATAGTCAATTAATTATTTATAAAAGGACACAAAAAGCTAAGGTAGCAAGTTGAAAGAACTTGGAATCAACTACAAGGTAAAAAATATTTTCAGGGATTGCTTAAAAGACTAAATATGTTGAAGAGAGTTCCACCAAGGTCGGCATGGGAAAATATAAAGTAAAAGTCATTTAGAGAATGACATATGTTCAGAATATGGTGGGTTCCAGGAATTACCAGTAGTATTCTTCAACAGTAGCCAACAAGGTACTCTTGAGGTCAAAAATGGCCAACAAAATAGAGAGTATTATAGCGAGGAATAGTTAAAATACTACAGAAAACTTGGTCTTTGCATCTAGAATCCTAGTGTTTTCACAATCCAAATACAGTTGATTATTTAACAACACATTTGAAATGCGTACTGCCCACTCATAAATTTCTTTCAATAACCATGTTGGAAAAATATTTGGAGATTTGTGACAACTTGAAAAAAACATCTTTAGCTTCTTTTATTGTAATAATACAGAATATAAATAATATATGTAACATAAAAAAATGTGTTAATCAACTGCTTTTATTATCAATAAAGCTTCCGGCCAACAGTGAGTTATTAGTAGCTAAGTTTCTGAGGAATCAAACGTTTTAGGCAGATTTTTGACTGTGCAGCAGGGTCGGTATCCTTAACCCCATGTTGTTCAAGGGTCAACTTAAACTGTGAATTCTATTCTTTTACCAAGTGTAACAATGAAAGACTTGGAAAAGAAAAATTTAAAAAGGACACAACAGGCTTTATGAATGCAGATTAGTTTTCTTAATTTCAACCTAAAAATAAACAAAGGCTGAAACAGAGTATGATAAAAACCATGAAAATATTCACTCTGAGAATGAGACAAAACCAGGCCATGTTATCAAACCCCAGAGCATTAACACCAATAACTGCAAGCCTGTTCATTTAGACTCAGCACTAACTAAACCACTTTTGTAAATTGAAGATTGTTGACATACAACCTTATATTGGTTCAAGTATATAACACAGTGGGTCAACAGTTACCCATACTGTTAAATCCTCACCCCCCACTAGTGCAGTTACTATCTGTCAACATAGGAAGATGTTACAAAATCATTGGCTATATTTGCCTTGCGCATTTCCATCCCCATGACCAACTTATATCACGAATGAGCATTTTTGTGCCCCTTTATCCCCCTCACACTCTGCACCCACCCCAACCCTTCCCTCATGGTAACCACCAGTCAGTTCTCAGTGTTGGTGAGTCTAATGCTGTTCTGTTCCTTCTTACATGCTGTTTAGTTTTGTTCTTATATTCCACAAGTGAAATCATATGGTATTTGTCTTTCTCTGCCTGGCTTATTTCACTGATAATACCCTCTAGCTCCATCCATGTTGTTGCAAATGACAGGATTTTTTTTATTATGCCTGAAAAATATTCCATTGTGTATATGAACCACATCTTCTTTATCCATTCATCTGATGGCCACTTAGATTGCTTCCATATCTTGGCTATTGTAAATAATGCAGTGATAAACAGAGGGGTGCATATGTCTTTTTGAATCTGGGATCTTGTTTTCTTTGGGTAAATTTCTAGAAGTGGAATTACTGGGTCAAATGGTATTTGTTTTTATTTTTTTGAGGCACCTCCATACTGCTTTCCACAGTGGCTGCATGAATTGACATCCCACCAACGTGTAGAAGTGTTCCCATTTCTCCACATATTCGCCAACACTTGTTATTTCTTGTCTTTTGGATAGTGGTCATCCTAACTGGTGTGAGGTGATATCTCAGTGTGGTTTTAATTTGCATTTCCCTGATGACTAGTGATGTGGAGCATATTTTCATGTGCTTGTTGGCCATGTTTCTTCTTTGGAGAAATGTCTGTTCAGGTCTTCTACCCATTTTTTAATCGGGTTATTTGTTTGTTTGCTGTTGAGGTGTATGAATCTTTGTATATTTGGATGTTAACCCCTTATCAGATAAATCATTTATTCACATATTCTTCCATACCATAGGTTGTTGCCTTTTTGTCCTGCTGGTATCCTTTGCTATCCAGAAGCTTTTTGGTTGATGTAATCTCACTTCATTTTTTGTTTCCCTAGCATGAGCAGATGTGACCATGAAAAAATTACTCATGCTTATGTTCAAGAGATTTTTGCCTGTTTTCTTCTAAGAGGTTTATGGTTTCATTATTTACATTCAGGTCTTTGACCCATTTCAAGTTTACCTTTGTGTATGGCGTTACACAGCAATCCAGTTTCATTCTCTTACATGGAGCCATCCAGTTTTACCAACACCAATTATTGAAAAGGCTGTCTTTTCCCCATTGTATATTCATGGCTCTTTTATTGTATATTAATTGACCATATATGTGTGGGTTTGTATCTGGGCTCTCTATTCTGTTCCATTGATCTATGGGTCTGTTTTGTGCCAGTATCATACTGTTTTGATTACTATGGCTTTGTAAGAGAGCTTCAAGTCAGGGAGCATAATCCCCCCCAGCTTTGTTCTCTCTCAGGATTGCTTTGGCTATTCAGGGTCTATTTTCATTCCATATGAATTTTAGGATTATTTGCTCTAGCTCATCAAAAAATTCTGTTGGTATTTTGATAGGGATTGCAATGAATCTGTAAATTGCTTTGGACAGAATGGCCATTTTGACAATATTAATTCTTCCTATCCATGAGCACAGGATATATTTCCATTTTTTGGTGTCTTCTTTAATTTCTCTCATGAGTATCTTATGTTTTCAGAGTATACATCTATCACCTCCTTGGTTAGGTTTATCCCTAGGTATTTTATTCTTTTCGATGCAATAGTAAATGGAGTTATTTTCCTAATTTTTCTTCCTGCTAGTTCGTTGTTAGTATATAGGAATGGAACAGATTTCTGTGTATTGATTTTATGCCTGGCAACTTTGCTGAATTCACTTATTACCTCTAATAGTTTTTTGGTGGAGTCTTTAAGGTTTCTATATCTAATATCATGTCATCTGCAAATAGTGACAATTCAACTTCTTTACTAATTTGGATGTCTTTTATTTATTTATCTTGTCTGACTGCCATGGCTAGGACCTCCAGTACTATGTTGAATAAAAGTGGTACAAGTGGACATCCTTATCTTGTCCCTGATCTTAGATGAAAAGCTTTAAGTTTTTTACCAGATGTAATGTTGTATTTTTTCCCTATATATATGTATAACATTAACAATATTATACACTGCAGTAATATAGTATAACTTCATTCAGGTTCCCAAACCAGATTCCAATGTGTGTAAATATGTGGGAGGGGGTCTTCTCACACATACTTACACCAAGCAATTCTCAAACACCAGCAGGATTAGAAAACTCAACTCAATTCTGATGCTATCTGACCAGAGACAGCACCAGATTCCCAGGTTAAGGGCTCTGCCCTACAGACTGCCCTCCACCCCCAACTCCAGATATGCAACTCACAAGTCCCAGGCAGTTACCCATGCTTCTGACCTACTGGCTAGTTCCCACAACCTCTGCCTTAGGTTTGATCAATTTGCTAGAGTGGCTCACAGAACTCAGGCAAACACTTTGTTTACCAGTTTAATAATGGACAAAAGTTAACAACCAGAAGAGAGACACAGGGCAAGGGGCCAAATAAAGGAGTTTCGATTCTTGTGGGGCTTGGGGGCCTGGCTCAGTGGCACAAGGAGACTTTCTGGATCCCCAAGCATGCAAGTTCTCTCTCTCTGACCATGAAGCAGGATCCAACTGAGCAGAGCAGGCAGAGCAGAGCATGAGAGAGACAAGCTCTTCTCCAGGGTTTTTGTGAGGGCTTCACTACATAGTCATGATTCACAAAATTATTGGCCGCTGGCTGATCCAACCTCCAGTCCCTACCCTTGCCCTTGGGTGGGGGGTCCAAAAGCCTCTCATTAACATCACAAAACACACATTTCACCTTTAAGACTCTACAGTGTTTTCAGGAACTGTGAAGATCAAATATACCAAGGAAATATATATACTTAGTCATATGAATGACCAAGTATATGTATTTCTTATGATTCATTATATCACAGGCTTCTACTGAGATGGTCATGTGATTTTTATTCTTCTTTTTGTTACCATGGTTTACGATGTTGACTGACTTACAAATACTGCACCATCCTTGCATCCCTAGAATAAATCCCATTTGGCCTTGATGGATGATCCTTTTGATGTATTTTTAAATTCAATTTGCTAATATTTTGTTGAGGATTTTTACACATATGCTCATCAGGGATACTGGTCTATAATTTTTTTTTGTGGTGTCTTTGTCTGGTTTTGGTATTAGAGTGATGCTGGCCTCATAGAATGAGTTTGGAAGTATTCCCTCCTACTTTGTAGAATGCTGTAACAAGGATGGGTATCAGCTCTTGAAATGTTTGGTAGAATTTGGCTGTGAAGCCATCTGGTCCTGGCTCCCTCTTTGTTGGGAGTTTTTTGATTACCAATTCAATTTCATTGCTGGTTAATCAGTCTGTTAGATTTTCTGTTTCTTCCTGAGTCAGTCTTGGAAGGTTATATTTTTCTAGGAATTTGTCCATTTCTTCTAGGTTGTCCAATTTACTGGCATAGTTTTTCATAAGATTCTCTAATAATTCTTTGTATTTCTGTGGTATCTGCTGTGACTATTCTTCCTTTCTGATTTTTTTGTGTACTTGTTTCCTTGATAAATCTGGTTAGGTGTTTGTCTTTATTTTCTCAAAGAACTAGCTCTTTGTTTCACTGATTTTTTTTTCTATTGTTTTGCTCTTTATTTCTGCTCTGATCTTTCATCTCTCATACTAACTTTGAGTTTCATTTGTTCTTTGTTTTATAGGTTCTTTAATTGTGAGTTTTAGGCTGTTTAGTTGAGATTGTTCTTGTTTCTTGACACAGGCCTGTGTTGCTGTGTACTTCCCTCTTACAACCACTTTTGCAGCATCCAACAGATTTTCAACTCTTGTGTTTTTGTTTTCATTTGTCTCCATGTATTTATTGCTTGCTTTCTATTTTGATTTGTTCACTAACCCATTGATTATTTAGAAGCATGTTGTTTAGCATCCATGTGTTTGTGGGCTTTTTTTGTTTTCTTGTGAGTGTAATTTATTTATAGTTTCATACCATTGTGGTCTGAGAAGTTGCTTGATACAATTTCTATCTTTTTGAATTTATTGAGGTTTTTTTGTGTCCTAGTATGTGATGTTCTGGAGAATATTCATTGAGAAAAATATATATCCTGCTGCTTTTGGGTAGAATGTTCTGTAGATGTCTGTTAAGTCCATCTGATATAATATGTTGTTCAGTGCCTCTGTTTCCTTATTTATTTTCTGCCTGGTTGATCTATCTATGATGTAAGTGGTGTTAAAGTCTCCTAGTATGAATGAGTTGTAGTCTATTTCCTCCTCTAATTCTAACTAAACCACTTTTCACAGAGTAAAAGTAAATGGAAAAAATAGGTAACTACCCATGTACAGGCATGGTTAGGCAAGCATGACAGGCAGCCACAACATGACCAAAATATTGTGCTGGGATCATAAATCTGATCATTCTGACACCTCCCACATTGTATAGTCCTTGATCAGATAGATAAACAACACTTCAACTCCAAATTCATTCCCACTGTGATTAGTAAAGCACTTTTCATTTCAAATATTTAAAACACAAAAATTCCATTTAATAAAAATGAAAATATCTAAATCAATCTTTTCTCAATGAAAGAAACATAATAGATATTTCCTTGATATATCTATTAGACTATATAATATTTACTACTCTGTGATTTTTTAGAAAAAATGTTTAGAAAGTGTCTTTTGATAACATAAAAGCATAAGGAAATCTGCACACCAGGTCTAAAAGGCTAAAATGAAGACCCCCCCCCCAAATGCAAGGCCATATAAATGCCTTTTAAAACAGCTCTTCTGCCCCTACAAGGCACATATACAACAATCATATCTCACTTTTGTCACTTTTCTCTGTGCCAAATAGTTTGGAGAAAGCTTTTTCTAGTACTGCAATGGTCTGGGCATCCATTTCTTGGGCTCTTTTCACGGGCTCTAATAATATCAGTCTTCTATTCTCCTCCCTGAGGGAATGATTTTCCATAGCATACTTTGCCACTCTGGGGTGGTGCTCCATCTGTGATATAGAAAGATTACAGATTTACATATTTCAAATATTTCCTTAATGAACAAGTCTTTCTCAGGAGCCATTAGAAAACATTAGGAATGCCTCATGCACTGCCAGTCGTAGCCTGCTGCAACCACTGTGGAAAGCAACTTGGCATTTCTGATCAGACTGAATATGTACATATCTTACAATTTCATTACTCTATATCTGGGCCTGTACCATTGAAACTTTCACGCAGGCACAGAAGGAGATAAGCACAAGGGTGTACAATGTGGCAGACTCTTCAGGCAAAAGAGACTGCTTAACATCTGAGAAAAAAAGGAAACTATTAACTAGGAGTGAATGCCCTTCAGGATACATTAAGTAAAAAGTGCGGCAAAAGACTGTATACGGTAATTTGCCTTTTGTGTGCAATAGGAATAAAAGTAAAAATATCCACATTATTTTAAATATGCATTAAAAACCTCTGAAAAGTTACAAAAACTAATAACAGATAATCTTTGGTTTTTAATGATGTGCTTGTACCAACTATCCATCCTCCACCAGGGAGAGGAAAAACAACGACAAAAATTCTAAGGGCTCAAATATAGAGACTATTGATCAAATGAGCACAGTTGCTCACAGGGAAAAACTGTCCTTGGCCTGCTGGAGTTGATGACTAAAGTAGCAACAAGGCCACAACTTCCCTTTTCCTTCCAGATTTTACTGTTTTGGAAAATGGGGGGAAAGGGTTTATGCATCAAAATGTCATTTGAAACCATTTAAAATACTTTCCATTATATTAAATTAGAAGAATTTGCTGACACATTTATATTTGCCTTGAAATTCTTTAATTTTCAGAAATATTGTATGTCATGTACTACTCATTTGTTCTTTCAGGGTTTGAACCTCATCCCTTAATTCTGACAGCAAACGATCCTGCTCCTCAGGCAGAAAACTTCCCCGAGACTCCTTATGAAGCTTCTCCAAGCGCATTATTTGATCCTCGCGGAAATTCACAATCATTTTATTAGACTGTATAAATTTTTCTTTTTTGAGGGTAAGATCTTCTAATTGGGTAACTTTTTCTACCAGAGACTTTAAGAAATTCAGAGTTAGGTTATCAAAGCATAAAATACCTTGAATTCTCTTTACACTAATTCAGTTTCCTACCTTCTTTTCCTGTTCAGCTTTCTTAAAGAATAACATTGCCTCTTGGAAATACTTCATGTAATTAGTCTCATTTTTGTCTGTAATTGATCAGGTAAGAAAAAAGGGAAAGGAAAAAAAATTATCTCTCAAATTTTAAGACCAAGAGATGAGCTAAACAGCTGTTGATTGCTCTCAATCTAAAAGAATCATCAACAGATCAGATTTCCAATGAACCCAGTCTATACATTACCTGTTCTTTAAATGTCTCGCTTATCCTATTTAGTAAACATATATATATATATATATACACACACACATGTTATGGCCGAATCTTGGAAGTAGATCTAAATTAACTTTATTAGTATCTCTTTTTAGTACTTATTAGGGATGAATTATTTCAAAGTATTTCTACTCTGTTCCCACCAACTCCCATAATTCAGTACCTATGGCATCTGTATCTGCTTACGGATGAAGTACTAAGTTCCTATGTAGGTGACATAAACAGAAGCAGATACTTCTGAGAAGATTTGGGTAGCTTCATTGTGCTATGCCTGTGCTCAGAGAGTTCTCATATCAATATTAGCACACGGTCTTCCTCATGATAAAGGCCGTTGTGTTCATCTCACCTGTGCTCAGGAATCTTTCTGGTGGCACCTGCCCTGAAGCAAGCTGAGCAAGCTGTTCTTTGAGCCTCTTCACTTCAGCTTGGAGCTGGCTCACATTTCCTTGGGTGTCTTCATTTACCACTGCCTATTAAAGAATTTTTAAGAAAGCACTAAAAGGACATGTTTTCAGTTGTATAGTCTTGTATTTATATTCACTTGTATGATTTGGAGTGACCCTCCTAACAAAACTGCACTTTGATCTCACAGTCAGAAGTCCACCAGAATCACAGTGTGGGGGTTGACGAGGACACTTCCTTTCCCTGCGCCCTCCTACCAAGAGCAAGAGACTGTTCCCCCTCACCATTCTACTCTCATATTTCCACTTAGCTCTCTGCTGTTGACTACCCCTGGGCCCCTCTGGGCTGGGTCATCCCTGGGATCTGGGTATGTTCCTCTAACACTGCCATGCTCCTGAAACAGCCAGCCAGATCCCCTGGAAAAGAGGAAGCACCTCAGTGAGTTTTAGCTACCTTTTCCTGGCTCACCTTAAAGGTGTGATGAACTGCAGGGTTGGCCTAAGCTGAATCAGCTCAGCAGAAACCACCCTCTCCAGAAGAACCCAACCTGCATTTCCTAATAGTGCTTCTGGAAGGAAGTGTTGCTCTGACTGCTCCACTTCTGTTTTATTATCACACTAAATGCTATTTTAAATAAATCTCTTCTTTGAGTCCTAAGAGGCTCAAAAAGGCCCACAAAACCTATAGGGTGGTAACAAGAGCCAACAGCTGAGTACTTACCAATCAAAGGCACCCAGTTACGAAATACCAAATAGTCCAATAACGGAAAAGAACTTCTGATGGCCCCAAGATCCCAGTGTTCCCATCTCAAGCCAGACCTGCTTATTGGGAAAGACCTAAATAGTTCATCCTCAAACAAGCCCCACATAGCATAGCCACTGCAGGGACTTACCATTGAGAGTGATTAGAATAAAGCTCCTGGTTTTGCTGTTTCATGTGTTAATAAGGCATTTCTACTTGCTTCAGATTCTTATGGCCAGCCTCATTCAAAGGCACTCCTATATATTCTGATATCACTGTCACATCAGTGATATCATAATTCTAATTACCCTTGCAGTTTTCCACTCTACAAAAGCTTCTAGTATGTCCTGAGAGATAGGGTCAGGAGGCTCTAATGAGTTCTCCTCCTCATATTACAAATACTCCACCAAGTGGGGTACAAATACTCCTCATATTACAAATACCCCATCTAGTAAAACAAATGAATAACCAGACCTACACTTTTGACCCAGGGTAAGAGGCAGCATGTACCTCTTCACTCTTACCATGGTAAGATAATCAGGGAGTCTACTTTTGGGTTAGTAATGACTAATTTCTCCTTTGAAAAAGAGGAAATTAATGTGCCAATTTATGGCACTGTAATTATTTTGTCTAAAACCAAAGGGGCCTTCACCCTCTCCAAAGTGAGCTGGGGAACTCCTTGGTTTTTGGCAGTCTGCACCAGGGGTTGGCAAAGTGCTGTTTGTTCTTGGACCAAATACAGTCAGCTGCCCATTTTTTGTAAAAAAAAATCACCTCAGTGAGTTTTAGCTACCTTTTCCTGGCTCACCTTAAAGGTGTGATGAACTGCAGGGTTGGCCTAAGCTGAATCAGCTCAGCAGAAACCACCCTCTCCAGAAGAACCCAACCTGCATTTCCTAATAGTGCTTCTGGAAGGAAGTGTTGCTCTGACTGCTCCACTTCTGTTTTATTATCACACTAAATGCTATTTTAAATAAATCTCTTCTTTGAGTCCTAAGAGGCTCAAAAAGGCCCACAAAACCTATAGGGTGGTAACAAGAGCCAACAGCTGAGTACTTACCAATCAAAGGCACCCAGTTACGAAATACCAAATAGTCCAATAACGGAAAAGAACTTCTGATGGCCCCAAGATCCCAGTGTTCCCATCTCAAGCCAGACCTGCTTATTGGGAAAGACCTAAATAGTTCATCCTCAAACAAGCCCCACATAGCATAGCCACTGCAGGGACTTACCATTGAGAGTGATTAGAATAAAGCTCCTGGTTTTGCTGTTTCATGTGTTAATAAGGCATTTCTACTTGCTTCAGATTCTTATGGCCAGCCTCATTCAAAGGCACTCCTATATATTCTGATATCACTGTCACATCAGTGATATCATAATTCTAATTACCCTTGCAGTTTTCCACTCTACAAAAGCTTCTAGTATGTCCTGAGAGATAGGGTCAGGAGGCTCTAATGAGTTCTCCTCCTCATATTACAAATACTCCACCAAGTGGGGTACAAATACTCCTCATATTACAAATACCCCATCTAGTAAAACAAATGAATAACCAGACCTACACTTTTGACCCAGGGTAAGAGGCAGCATGTACCTCTTCACTCTTACCATGGTAAGATAATCAGGGAGTCTACTTTTGGGTTAGTAATGACTAATTTCTCCTTTGAAAAAGAGGAAATTAATGTGCCAATTTATGGCACTGTAATTATTTTGTCTAAAACCAAAGGGGCCTTCACCCTCTCCAAAGTGAGCTGGGGAACTCCTTGGTTTTTGGCAGTCTGCACCAGGGGTTGGCAAAGTGCTGTTTGTTCTTGGACCAAATACAGTCAGCTGCCCATTTTTTGTAAAAAAAAAGTTGCACTGGAACACAGCCATGCTCATATGTTTACATATTGCCTATGGCTGCTTTCTCACTACAAAAGCAGAATTGAGCAGTTTGGACAGAGACCATATGATCTACAATGCCTAAAATATTTACCATCTGACTCTTTACAGGAAAAGTTTTTTGACTACTGGTATACAGAAGTGTCAAGAAAGCTTCTTATATATAAACAAAACAGGGGATCCTTGGAGTTAGAGACAACTTGAAAGACAAAGCTCATTGATATTATTAAATTATTTTCATAATGAACCCCTCCACCTCCACCCTCACAGCTCTACTGAAATGGTTTAGATATATAAATAGAGTCTCCAACCCAATTACAAAGGAAAAACTTTGCCCTCTTGGGAAAAAACTAGCCTAACAATAATAACCATAGACCTAACCAAGACTGTAAATTATGTGAGCAATAGAGATGGCTAGGAAAGATGAACTAGAAACCTTGCTTAGAGTTGAGATTTCACAGAGAAATAAATAAAAGCTAATGTTAATATTAGGGCGATCACAAAAGTGAGATACTGCAAGCTTAAGTATTTTTCTAATTTACTTAATTGTACTCAGTACTTTCTTTACCTTATTTTTAATCAGCTTGGCTCTTTGAGCAAAATTAAGCATTGACAGGGTTTCCCCAAAACACCTGGCTCCAGGATGAACATTTGCAATTATGGCTGTTTTGGCATTACCTCCAAGGGAATCCTGTTTAGTGATATGAATGGTATACATTTCAGGGGAGAAACCACAAGGTCTGACTTAAGCAAATAAAACAAATACTTTATCACCAAGGCTGAGAGACTGTCTATCACCCATAGAGAACATGTCCAAAAAATGGTCCAGGAACCCAGTGATCCACCTTACCCAGAGTAAGAAGGTGAGTTTGGAGTCTCTGAGCACACATGTCTCTGTTTCCCATTGCCCATATCAACAAGTGCAGTAATCACTTGGCCCAAGCAGTTCAATGATCGGTTTATGTTACCTGCTTCCTAAGGTGGCAGGGAAGAAGAACAAATATTTAGGTGCACTTGTTTCTTTTTAGCATCTTGAATTAAAATATACCTAACAGTGATAATTTTGAATGGAAAGGCAAGTCAGGGACAGTGTAAGTTAATAATAACTAACTTTTCAGCAAAAGATATCCTCAACCATCATGTAACTTTTCCTATTTGATGCACACTGTAATTTTAGTATTCAAAGACCAACATAAAAATCACTGGAAGGAAAAAAAAATCAATCTCCTGACAGTAATAGTTTTAAATTGCTCTACAGGTAGGGATAAAAGCTAGGAAAGGACAGAGAAAAAGAAGTTGGTGCATTTTTATGTAAAAATTTTTGCTACATTATAAGAGTATGCTAGCTAATAACCCACCCCATGTCCTACAAAAGCCATGGATGAACTTATTAGAAGAGAATATTCAGTCTAAATTTATAAATTATAATAAAATTCCTTTTAAAATTGGTTTGGAGAAAAAAGAAACATGGCTTAAAAATATACTGGATTTTTCCTGTTGGTACCCTTCTTTGATAACTCGTCTGCCATGGTGGCAGTAGAGGAAAAGAGAGAGAGAGTGGAAATGACAAAGCAAGACACACTGAGTTCAGAGCTGCACTACTGGTTTCACCACTCAGTAAGTCAGAAAGGCGGCTTAGCGTAACAGCTGAGAGCACTGCCTGTAGAGCTCGCCCACATCTATTTGAATCTTGCCATGCTCCTAGCTTTGTGCCCCTGGACAATTTACTTCAGTTTCTCTAAAATAGAAAGTATTTGTTCCTAGAGTCACTGGGAAGGTTAAATGAGTTAATATAGACATATAAAGCATTTAGAACAGGACCAGCTAATGTCCTATTATAAACATATGTTATTTTTCTTTGCTTCATAGCTCAATAGAAACACAACCCTGAGATTTCCTGAAACTGCCTGAAAGCGCAGGAGGCTCAAATCATCCATTTTAATGCAAAAAGTAAACTCCCCCCAACTATTGCCACGTCTTCTCCCCTAGCTCCTATATAAATCCTAAACCGTGGAATCCAAACATATCTTATTGATAATATATATTACTAAACACACCTATATGTTGACAGGATCACTACAGAGAACCCCTGGCCCATCGCTAATACCTTAACCTAAGACTAGGTCCTTAACCCTAACTCCTGAAATGCTAAACCTCTCTTCTTTCTCCTCAGGCTCTCCCATCATGAATCCAGCAGTAGTGGGCCAGAGGGCTGTTTTTATAAAACAGGCTGTTGCATGAAATCACTCAAATTTTTAAGTACTTCCCAGTGTTTGCACTGATGAGAGCAAACTTGGCCAGGCACTCCTGGTCCTCACTGATCTGGGCTTACATGTACCTCTAACCCAACCCATCCACTGATCTCTGCTGATATGCCAAATGCCATACTAACTTTGTATCCATAGTGACCCTTGAGATGTTGTCCCCCTGCTGGGCATGTATTCCCTGTTCCCCTCCTCTCCCTAACCAAATCCTTTCCCCTTTGAAACATGACTCAACAATGACTTCTTTCCTTGGCCCCAAGTAGGCCAAGTCCCATGCTTCTTCCTCTGACTTCTGCTGCCACTTGTGCTATCATCCTTCCTGGCATATTTTCAAACACTCTTGCTACTGACAGACTTATCCTATGCCATGTATGTTTACTGTCCCTACCCCACAACAAAAATGTGTATCTCTTGGATAAGAGCAATTTTTTACTCCTTTGTAGCCCTCACAACATTGAACTTCTAGTAATAATTCACACACAAGCAGAACCATAATCCCATTCTTACCTTCAATCTCATCCCTTCTGCATGGGTGTCTTTTTGCCTTTCAGATCCTGCTAAATCTACCAGATTGAGTAGAGAAGTCCGTATATTCACAGTCTCGTTGCTTTTTTCCATTGACTACTGTAACTGTAAAGACTGCATGAGACCTAGAAGTTTCTCTATTCATTGATGTTGATGCCACACGTCTGTTTCTCCAGCCTCCCAACAACACCTAGGCAAAAGAAAAATGTATTATCACAACTTCCAAGTAATCACAACAGCCATTAACATCAGCAGGAAATCTGTAAAGGGCGGTAAGCAGGAATACTGGCCCACCAAAAAACACACTCAATATTTTCCTTTCCTTTTCTTTTCTGTTCCCTCTTCATGTTAAGGCAAGAGAACAAACAGAAAATCAGAAGTCACAGGATCTAGAACTGGTTGGCCATTCTCTATTTGTGCTAACCTAATACAAATCACAAAATCTCTCTGTATCCTTCTTTACCCAGACAGTGAGAAAGTTAGACAAGATAAATATCAAAATCACCTTCACACCAAAGCTTTGTCAGCTCTTTTGGTCTACGAAGTATTTGTTTTCCCTCTCTATCCCCTGAAAGAAGACGTGCACATGTTATTCAACTGTGGCAAGCTGGATAATATGAAGGCTATGGCATGCAGTCTCTGGAAGGAAATGAACATGAGATCAGCTTCTGACTCCCCTATTTATTAGTTCCCCTATTTATTAGCCTGGGACCAGTTGAGCCTTTTTAAGGCTCAGTCCCTTATCTGTAAAATGAGAATATGGGTACTTACACCACAAAGCAGAACATCTCAAACTGTAATATGCATACTAATCACCAAGGGATCTTATTAAAATTCAGATTCTGATAGGGCCTGAGACTCTGTATTTGTAACAAGATCCGAGGTGATACTGATAGTCTGTGAACTACATTTTTTAGTAGCAAGGCTATAATATGTATAAGATAAAATGGGAAAATACTTTATCTCAAAAAGTAGATAAAAAAAATTAAATAATAATAGAATTTAGCCCAGTGTTCCCACACACACTCAATAAATGGAGCTGTTAAAACCCTCTTTTAACCAGCCACAGCATAAAATTGAAATTATTTTGCATCTTTATATTTTTTGGATAGCACTGTATGCTTCCCTTTCATGACACTAAATATTGTATGTTAAACGTTAGATAAATCATGATACATTTATACAGCTGAAGAAGAGACAGAGCATCAGACATGGAACGAATTCTAATACTGTTACCTTGAAAAAAGCATGGTGCAAAAATAGTACAATATATTATAACTTCTGAAACGTAAGGAGAAAAAGCAAATACAGTTGAACCTTGAACAACACAGTGATTATGGGTGTTGACCACCCTCCCCATGCAGATGAAAATCCACATATAACTCTTGACCCCCAAAAAAACTTTACTATTAGCCTACTGTGGACTGGGAGCCTTACTGATAACATAAACAGTTGCTTAACAGATGTTTTGTATGTTATGTGTATTATATACTGTATTCCTACACTAATCTGGAAGAAAGAAAAGGTTTTCTCAAAACATCATCAACATCCAAAAAATTTTACCATATACTACTGAAAAGAATTTCCAAACAAGTGGACCTGCACAGTTCAAACCTCTGTTGTTCAAGAGAGCCAAATGTACTTGTTTCAATTTTTACAAAAAAATGTTTGTTCATGGATCACAGGAAGATGGCGGCATGAGTAGTTTAGAGGAAATCTCCTCCACAAAACATACATATTTATGAAAATACAATGAATACAACGATTCCTAAAAGAGACACCAGTGGATGCAGTACAACAGCCAGGATACATCTACATCTGCGAGAAGTCAGCATCACATGAAGGGGGTAAGATACAAGCTGCGGCCAGGCGGGACCCGAACACTCCCACACACCAAAACCCGGCGGGAAGAAAGGAGACAGAAAGGGGAGGGAGTGAAAGCCCAGGACTGCTAAACAACCAGCTCTAGAAATCCCCACCCGGAACGCAGACACAAGGTGCACAGGGAGCTGGATATTAGAGAAACGGAAAAGCAAAACCTGGGGGCAAGTCCCCGCAACCGGCGCCCCGAGACAAAAGAAAAGCGAGAGCTTTCTGTAAGTCTTAAAGAGACAGGGACACCATAGCTGGACAAAGTTGTCCCGGCAGCTGGGAGTACCGGGGAAACTTAGGCGCCCTAAACAGAGGCAGTGCAGCTCTGAAGCCCCTCACAGGACAAGGCAGCCTGCCAGTTGTTCCTCCAACTGGAGCGCACTGACACACAGGCCCACTAGGAGGAGAGTGGGAGCGTGCACCAGGGGCAGAAGCACTAGAAGGAACCGAGAGCAGATCCGTGCACTGCAGGGCTAGCCCACAGTGGTGCAACCAAACAGCCTGGGCGCGTCTCGCGCACACCGGCGGCACTGAAGCCAGAGCCCAGTAGAAACCTGTGCAGAAAAGCTGTGCGTGCACCAGCAGCGGAGCCGGAGGGAGCAGGCATGCTCCCAGGAGCCAACCGGAATCCCAGCCCAATGCACAGCTGCACAGGCCAGACACAAAGGCCGCTGCAGCCACACAGCTGCGTGGCAGGGTCGCTGCTAGCATAAAGGAGCGCACCTGGCGTGCCTGCGACTCCCCGCAGGGCTCTGCACTGCTCTGATGGACACCCCGCCCACAGCAGCTTGGGAGATTAACCCGGTGACTGCTCCAGGAGTACAGGTAGCCATCACAGGCAGCTGAGAAGGGCAAGGCATCCAGCAAGCAGGAAAGGACTTTCTTCTCCCAGCTGACACACCCCTAACCTGCCTACAGCCATGAAAAGGCAGAAAAATTTAGTCCAGTCCAAAATAGTACAGAAAACCCCTGAGAGAGGATCTGCAGAGACATACCTAACCAGTCTATTCGAAAAAGAATTCAAAATAAAAATCAAAAACATGCTGACAGAGCTGCAGAGAAATATGCAAGAGCTAAGGGATGTAGTCCGGAGGGAGATTACAGACGTCCGGAGGGAGATCACAGATGTCCAGAGGGAGATTACAGAAGTGAAACAAACTCCAGAAGGATTTATAAGCAGAAAGGATAAGATTCAAGAGGCCATTGATGGAATAGAAGCCAGAGAACAGGAATGCATAGAAGCTGATGCAGAGAGATATAAAAAGATCTCAACGAATGAAACAATATTAAGAGAAATGTGTGACCAATTCAAAAGGAACAATATCCGCATTATAGGGCTACTAGAGGAAGAAGAGAAAGAAAAAGGGACAGAAAGTGTCTCTGAAGAAATAATTGCTGAGAAGTACCCCAAACTTGGGGAGGAAATAGTCGCTCAGACTACAGAGGCACTCAGAACTCCTGAGAGACGGAACCCAAAGAGGACAACACCAAGACACATAATAATTAAAATGGCAAAGATCAAGGACAAGGACAGAGTATTAAAGGCGGCCAGAGAGAGAAAAAAGGTCACCTACAAAAGAAAACCCATCAGACTATCACACTTCTGAACAGAAACCTTACAGGCCAGAAGAGAATAGCATGATATATTTAATGCAATGAAACAGAAAGGCCTTGAACCAAGGATACTGTATGCAGCACGATTATAATTTAAATATGAAGGAGGGATTAAACAATTCCCAGAAAAGCAAAAGTTGAGGGAATTTGCCTCCCACAAAACACCTATACAGGGTATCTTAGAGGGACTGCTCTAGATGGGAGCACTTCTAAAAGAGCACAGAACAAAACACCCAACATATGAAGAATGGAGGAGGAGGAAAAAGAAGGGAAAGAAATAATCATCAGACTGTGTTTATAACACCTGAATAAGCAAGTGAGGTCAGACAGTAAGGCAGTAAACAAGCTAACCTTGAACCTTTGGAAACCACAAATCTAATGCCTACAATAGCAATAAGAACATATCTTTCAATAATCACAATGAATATAAATGGACAGAATGCACCAATTAAAAGACACAGAGAAATAGAATAGATAAAAATGCAAGAAAGATCTATATGCTGCTTACAAGAGACTCACCTCAAAACCAAAGATATGCACAGATTAAAAGTCAAGGGTTGGGGGGGCAGAGCCAGGATGGCGGCGTGAGTAGAGCAGTGGAAATCTCCTCCCAAAAACACATAGAGCTATGAAAATATAAGAAAGAAAAATCTTCCTAAAATAGAGACCACAGGACACAGGACAACATCCAGACCATATCCACACCTGCAAGAACCCAGCGCATTGCAAAGGGGGTAAGATACAAGCCGCGGCCCGGCGGGACCCGAGCGCCCCTCCCCCCGGCTCCCGGCGGGTGGAGAGAAACCGGAGCAGTTTTTTTTTTTTGGCGAGCGCTTTTTGGAAGCCTTAGAGGGACGGGCCCCCGTTGCTGGGGAGGCAGGGTGGCGGGACCGGTGAGGAGGTGCCTGGGAACGGCGCCGGAGGACAAAGAATATCCCGCGTTTCTCCCTGCGAGACCTGGGGGCGGGTGCCTGAGACCGGTGCCTGAGGACGGAGGAGGTCGCGCGTTTTTCCCCTTTTTTTTTTTTTCTCTTTTTGGCGAGCGCTTTTTGGAAGCCTTGAAGGGACGGGGACCCCAGTGCTAGGGAGGCACGGTGGCGGGACTGGTGAGCGGGTGGCTGGGACCGGCGCCTGAGGACAAAGAATATCCCCCGTTTTTCCCTGCGGGACCGGTGGGCGGGTGCCTGAGACCGGCACTTGAGGACAGAGGAAATCGCGCGTTTTTCCCCTTTTTTTTTTCTCTTTTCTGCGAGTGCTTTTTGGAAGCCTAAAAGGGACAGGGACCCCGGTGCTAGGGAGGCAGGGCGGCGGGACTGGTGAGCGGGTGCCTGGGACCGGCACCTGAGGACAAAGAATATCCCGCATTTTTCCCTGTGGGACCGGTGGGTGGGTGCCTGAGACCAGCACCTGAGGACGGAAGAAATCGCGCGTTTTTCCCCTTTTTTTTCTCTCTTTTTGCCGAGTGCTTTTTGGAAGCCTTGAAGGGACAGGGACCCCGGTGCTAGGGAGGCAGGGCGGCGGGACTGGTGAGCGGGTGCGTGGGACCAGTGCCTGAGGACCAAGAATATTGAGCGTTCCTTCCCTGCGGGACCGGTGGGTGGGTGCTTTTTGGAAGCCTTGAAAGGACAGGGACCCTGGTGCTAGGGAGACAGGGCAGCAGGACCAGTGCGCGGGTGCCTGGGACCGGCACCTGGGGAAAAAAAA